GTTGTTTCCTATGAGGAATCTCCTGACATCTTTATTTTTACTTCTTCATATGTAACTTTTTTTCTACCCCAGAGAAGGGGAGGACTTTTAAGATTTTTCTTTTTATCAGTGAGTTTTAGTAATTTTATCCTACAACCATTTGGCTTTCATCTCTGTAGCCACACTGGCTTATTTGCTATTTTCTGAATATTCTAAGCATACTCCCGCCTCATAACTTTGTACTGACTATTTTCTTTGCCAGGAAAGATCTTTGTACAGCACTTCACCTCTTTCAAAGTTTTTATGCAAATATTACTCTCTCATTGATACCTACTGTGTTCATCATATTTAAAATTATAAATCTCCTAGCTCTTTCAACCCACCCTTATTATCAGTGATATAATTTTCCATAACACTCATCACTTTCTAACTTTCCATATAATAAATACATTTGTATGTTTATTTTCTGTTTCCCCAACTGGAATGTAAGCCAGGAGAATGGGAAACGTTGTCTGTTTTGTTCACTGTGGAATATATAGTACCTAGAATGATACCTAGAACAATACCTAGAATGGTGAATTGTCAGAATATATTTGTTGAAAAAATTAATAACCAAACAAACGAAAACTCAGTTAAAATTCTAGTTTGAAAATAATATTTGAAATATTAATTCTTTTTGGTTGGGATACATTTTACACTACAAGATTCTTTATTTTACTTTTGTCTTCCTGGCAATGGATAAGTATTAAGTAAATTTTTATTGAACAAATTAATAGTAAATTCTTCATTATGTCTTAAGGACAGCATGTGAGACTTCAGTTGACAAATCTAGTGGAATACAAAGTTACTGGTAATTTAATTTCTAGAGCATTTACCATTAATAATTTTATATTCATTATTTATAATTTTGACTGGAATGTTCTTTTGGCTTTGAATGTTCATTTTGGAAAATACTAGAACTAGTATAATAAAAAAAAGTTGATATTATAGTCAAAAGAACTAAATTCAAGTCAATTGCTACTTCTAGACTTATGACCATAGGAAAATTTCTTAAACTTTGAGTCTCAATTTTTTTAACTTTAAAATGAATTAATTTTAATTAATTACTCTAATATTATGCCTCTTAATTTTATACTTAAAATGAGGACAATGAATTATACATTCTCTAAGTCCTTTCCAAGTCTAATGTTCAGGGAACCTCTTGCAATAAATCACCTATTCAAACTCAGAATTATAGAGGGTGATGTTTTACAACTAGGCAAGATTAGTACCATGCAAATTCTGAATCAACAGGTCTAGGAAAGGAACCAAGGTTCTACATGTCTGAGATGCTCGTGCTGGTCCAGGAACTGTAACATATGGAGGAAAGTCTTCCATGACAGTGGGCGCTGGGATCAATGGCCAGAGGACTAAGCTTATTTGACTACTGGGGTGACAGTAGAATTCAAAGCCATAGGTTCCAAAAGCTTCTCATCCTGGCTGATGAAAAATTCAAAAACTGCAGACTTGGCATTGACATCTAACTGTTGTAGATATTTTTGTCCTCTCCTCATTTTTATCATGTTTAAATATGTTTTCTTCTCCCACCCTAATTCCTTAGTGATTCCTTTTATACCTCCTGCCTCCTAAGAGGCAGTCTACAAAGCTCAGTCTTGGGATCTTTAATAAATAGATCCTGTTTAAGAGTTTAATTAAATCTGAAATACTTTTCATTTTCAGAATTGCATGTCCAATGAGAGAGAGAGAAAGAGAGAGATAGAGATTTAAACAAAAAGTGAGATCTGTTTTGTATAATAGGAACAATGACATCTTCAGCAAAGGCTTGATCCCACTCAAACTGTATCCCCATTAACAAAGTTCTTCCTTTTTTCCTCCTGTCTTCTGAAGTGCAGTCTTGATTCTCAGACTTGACCTAGTTTTCTCTGGAATATCTAGGCTCTTCCCTTAGGACATTAAAATGGTTATCAAAGTTGCAGACCTCACTTCCTATAAAAGAAAGATATTTCCCATTCCCCATAGTCCCACTAAACATTTCTTTACATCTCACTCCCTTTAATTTGCCCAAACCTGTACTAATCATTGAGAATAGGTGATGATACAAATTTATCAGTTGCAGTTTGAGTGAAGTTAATCTCATCCAAATCTCATAGCTGAAAATGTGAAAGAATACTTAGGGTAATAAAAAGGAGAAATGAGTGTCAATGAAGAAATGGACAAATGTCCACTATCTTCAGTTCCAGTTCTCTAATTTTGCCTTATTTCTTAACATTCCCCACAACTTCAGTTAAGATATTTTTCAAAAAGCACCTCTCATCTCAAGTAACTTCTCCTTACCTTTTACTCTAATAATTCATATCCTACCCATTTTGGGGGTCTTACCTCACAATTGATCTTTGACCTTTCTGAACCACATTGTTTTTCCCCTCAATATTCCTTCAGTTTACATTATTCTTTATTTTATATATGTTTGTTTCTATCCAACTAGATTATAAATACCTGAGACGATCAGGATATGTCTTTCGCCTTTTATATCCTTCTTCAATACCAAATAGATTTTCAAGCCCTTAGTCCTCACTCAATGAACAATTGCAGAATAAGTCCTGTTATAATTAAACAGGCAGCATGTTGAATCAAAGGAGCACCAAAGTGGGAAGTAGACTTGAACTTTGGTTCCAGCTCTGTCTTTTTCCAGTTGGCCAATCTTGTACAAGCTATTTAACCTATTGAGCTCCATCTATAAAATAGGCAGATTTCTATATGCTGTGCCTGTTTCATATTCAATTGTAAAAAAGTTTCTTTTTTAAAGAAACTTGGAGAAGAATCTGGCAATGAATTCTGAAGTTTTTAGGCAACACTTCCAGGAGGGGAGCATAGCCAAGCTTTGTGACTACCTTTAGAATAAGGAAGTGGAGAGAAGGAAGCCTTTCAGCTGAGAGAATGGAGAAGGACCAGAAATTCAGGAATTAACATAACATTTTCCCTGAACCACAAGAAAACTAGCCTAACTGATACTCATTCTTTACAAATCAAATTGAAAAAAGAAGCCATTTACTCTCACTCTTTTCACAGTTGGAAATATGGAATTTTCCAATATTTTCAGTGAATTCATGACTCTGACTCTATTAAAAATCAGGAGTTGAGGAAAATAAAAGCAGCCATTGCCAGTCAAACCAATTGTATCACAAAGTCACAGAATTTCAAAAAGGGAAGGAACATTAAGAAAGTATCTGGTTCCTTAAATTAAGAAAATATCTCAACTTTTTAAACCATGCAAGAAGCCAACTTCCAATGACTATGACAAGGCTTTTCAATTTCCCTGAGATGTAAAGTCTCATCGTGTCACTACATTCATCGTAATACATAGATAAATGTGTGTAGTTGGCCCCAAATCCCAACAAGCCTTCACGTAGGAAGAGACTAATTGTCTCTCAGACCTAAAGCTATGGGACTGCCAGAGAGAAGTTCTTTGTGAAAACAACTAAAGTGCTAACCCTACACCTGATTCTTTCCATTACACTAACCTTGCATTATTAGCCTGTGGTTAATGTAAACGTGATATTCCTGAGAGAAATCTAAAATACCCAAAAGGATTATTTCCTAACAATAAGGACAAACAGGAAAACAGATGGAGGTCATTCGGATATATTTCAAATCCCTGCCCAGTTTTCTCTAGCAAACAAATGTAAGCAATTATAAAAATAACATCTACAAGATACCAATATATACTTTTTTGGTATTTGGGCCCTCTAATTTTAGGAAGGGAATTCTTAGGAGTCATTACTAATGAGTTTAACAATCGCATAATGATAACTTTACTCACTAATCAACTGCAGTCTTTTTTTAATGCTACTCAACTAACAAGTTTTTTTGAGTTCAGAGATACATTTTTATAAATTTCAACCTTACAAATATCATAAAATGAATAAATATACTTGTAAATAATAACAATAATAATAAATATATGCTTATTTCTTAATTCTATTCATTCATGTCACTTAGTTATATGCTTTATATTATAAAGGAGAAGCAATTATAACAACATTGTATTTCTTTAATATTTGCCTTTAAATATGATACATTTAAAGATATTTCTCATGACAAAACACCAAATACAAAAGTCTGTTTAATCTATAGAAGACTGGTTAAATAAGTTCTGGAATACCTACCAAAAAAAAAAGATCAGCTACTATAGAAAATAAACATGAGCACTGATAGGAACTTTCCACACTGCTTAGCCATCTATCCTTTCATGTGCATAGTTTTATTATTGTTTTCAATTGTTTTAAATTCTACTAGTATTATCTGTACAGTGAGGTTAAAGGCTATAATGGTTTTACTTTTTAGACTATTATGTACTTTAAAAAAATCACAAGTCATAGATACATGTTTTATTTTCCACACACAAAAAAAATGGCAAGTCTGGCTGTGTAGGGCCTTTATTACAGCAATGAGTATGGGGACTTTGTAGGAGAGGAAGATGCTGTCTAACATGTTGCAAAATTATTTAACTGCAGAACCATTTTTAGAAAGGATAACCACAGAGCCTAATATTCTATGCAAGAAATATTAGAAATTTCTGACTTTACCAATTAAGAAAATATTCATTGAATGGGTTCCTTTTTGTTAATTATAGAGAACATGATAAAATGCATTTAACCTATGTAAGTCCTATAACTACTTTGACCTTGATGCATATTTTAAAACAACTAAATTTATAATTCCGTAGTTTAGGGTTTGGCTTTTTTGTAAAGAGCCAGATAGTAAATATTTTAGATTTTGTGAGCCATATAGTCTCTGTTGCAACTATTCAGCTCTGCAGATAAAAAGGGAAGCAGCCATAGATGTTACATAAACAACTGGACACGCCTAAAGCCTGTAACATTTTACCTACAAATACATATTTGGCCCATGGGAGCTAGAATGTAAATCCCTGGTTAACATTATTTTTCATGCACATTATAAAAACTAAGAATCAAATAGCCCTGTAAAAGCATGTGGCATGTGGTATTTTGGGATCTTACACTCCATAATAGGCTAGGCAGCTCTGTTTAGCCAAGGGTAGTTCCCACAGATTGCTGACAGCTGAGGTTCTGTCAGCCAGAAGCAATCCCAGCAGCCAGGAGAGATTCCTTCTGTCCTAAAAGAGAATTTGGGACATAACACAGTATTAAGTACGATACCTCTCTTCAACACAGATAGCTGAATCTGATTACTATTAATATATTTACTTATTTGCTCTATGAGAATATGCTAAAAGTAGTTTATTAGCTAATCACCTATGTTAGAGTATTTTAGATTGGTCCTATTATTTTTCAATTATATACAGTATTGCAATTTATAAATTTAAGCATATTTTTTTTTATATTTTTGAAACTGTATCTTCAGAGTTAATTCCAAGAAGGAGGATTGCTAGGTGTTTTACTTTAATAGATTTTAAAATATTGAACCCACTTCGAGTTCATGAAATAAATTGCATTTGTGTATAATGTATTCCTTTATTAATGTGGTATTATATTCCGATCACTGATATTTTATTTAATATCTTTGCAATGATATTCATAAGTGGTATTGCTTTATAATTTTCTTTTATTGTAATGACCTCATTAGATTTAGATATCATTATTATACTTCCATCTAAAAATAGAATTAAGAAATTTCTATTTGCTATGCTCTGGTACAGTCGTGTAGTATTGGGACAACCCCATTTCTGAAGGTTTTCAGAAATGAGGTTGTCCCAATAGAATTTCACTGTGAAAATATCTGACATTAGTGTTTTTTTTGTAGAGTATTTCCTAGATAATGTTCTTTATTTCTTCTATAGAACTTACTATGTCTTCTAGAACAATATCCACTTAATCTAGGTTTTCATATTTATTTGTAGGAAATGTCAACAGTTACATATGTTTTTAAGTTATTCTCTTTCAATGTTTATTTCCCCTCTTTTAGTGTAGTACATGAATATTGGTATTTTCTTTCATTTCTTTGTCTATTGTTGGTTTTATATTTTTAAACAACAGGATTTTGAGTTATTAATTAGATATAATTTTTCAATTTCTTACCTCATTTAATTTCTACTTTTATATCAGTTATTTCTCTGTATGTGTGTCTCTTTATTTGTTCTTTTTCTAAGTTTTTGAGTTGAGATCATATTAATTTCCAGTTTTTCATTTTAATTAATACAAGTATTTAAGGTTATAGATTGTCCACTGATCTTTGTTTTAAGTACATTTCATAGATTCTGAGATGTAGTGATTTTTTAACATTTTATTTTGAGATAACTATAGATTTACATGTACTTTTAAGAAATAATACAGAGATACAATATATCTTTCCTTCAAATTCCCGCATTTGCATAGGTATATTATCATTTTCATAAATGTATTACAATATTACAACCAGGAAATTAACATTAACAAAATCTATTAACCTTATTCAGATTTCATTAGTTTTGCATGTTTTATTTACGTATGTGTATTTAATTCTATGCAATTTTATCATATATATGGACTTGTGTGACCTCCACTGCAGTCCAGATACAGAACAGTTTTATTACAAAGATCATTCATGATGCCATTTTACAGTCACAGCAAACTAGTTCTCTCCCTGCTTCCTCATCTTTGGCAACAAATAAATCCATTCCCATCTCTATAATTTTGTCATATCAAGAATGCTGTATAGTCTACAAGCCCGTGAGCAAGCCCAATCCTGTCTGATCTCAGAAGCTAAGCAGGTTTGGGCCTGGTTAGTACTTGGATGGCAGACCACCTAGGAAGCCCAGGTGCTGCAAGTGTAAAAAAAAAGAATACTGTATAAGTTGAATACAGATACAGCCTTTGGATGTAGGCTTTTTTTCAATTAGCCTGATTCCTTGAAATCCATCCAAGTTCTTGTATATATCAATAACTCATTCCTTTTTATTGCAGAGTAGTATTCTGTGATATGGATATACCACACTTTGTTGAACCATTCACATTGAAGGACATCTGGTTTGTTTCCAGGTTTTGCCTATTATGAATAAAGCTTCTTACAAACATTTATGTACATAAGTTTTCATTTCCCTTGGATACATGTCCAAAAGTTCAGCCACTGGGTTGTACGGTTATTACAAGTTTAGTTTTATAAAAACCTGCCATATTCTTGTCCAGAGTGATGGTAGCATTCTACATTCCCACCAACAATACAAGTGATCCAGTTTCTCTATATCCTCATCAGCATTTTGTGTGATAACTATTTTTTATTTTAGCCATTCTCATACATATATAGGGCTATCTCATTGTGGTTTTAATTTGCATTTCCCTAATGGCAAATGCTGTTGAACATCTTTTCACATACTAATTTGCTGTTTATTATCATCTTAAATAAAATGTCTTCATTCTTTTGCTAATTTTTCAATTGAACTGTTTTTTTTTTTTTTGAGGTGGGTTTGAGATTCTTATTTTATATATTCTAAATACAAGTCTTTTTTCAGATATGTGGTTTGCAAATATTTTCTTCCAATCTGTAGCTTCTCATTTTAGCCTCCTCACAGAATAAAAAAAGGTTGTATAGAGCAAACTTTTTTTTGTAGAGCAAAGATTTATAACTTCGATGAGGTCTATTTTATCCATTTTTACTTCTGTAGATCATGCTTTTGGTGTCAGTTCTATGAACTTTTTACCTAGCTCTACATCCTGAAGATTTTCTCCTGCATTTTTTCTAAAATTCAACAGACTTACATGTTACATTTAAGTTTTTAAATTAATCTTATTGGGGTAGCATTGGTAAATAACATTACATAAGTTTCAGGTGTAAAATTTTATAATACATCTGTATATTTCATTGTGTACTCACCACCTGAAGTCTAGTCTCCTTCTGCCACTGTATTTGACCTTCTTCATCTTCCCCTCTCCACTCTTCCCCTCTGGTAACCACCATACTATTGCCTGTATCTATGTTTAAGTTTGTGACCCATTTTGGTATAAGGTGAGATTTAGATCAAGGTTTGTTTTTTTGGAGTTTTGTTTGTTTGTTTGTTTTTACCTATGGATACTCTAGTACCGTTTGTTGAAAAGTCTATCATTTGCTCCACCACCATTTGTTGAAAAGTCTATTCTTCCTCCATTGAATTATTTTTACAATTTCATCAAAAGAAGTTTGCTAAAATATGTCAGTTCCTCCACTAATGCCACACAATCTTGGTTACTTTAACTATGTAGAATGCCTTAATATCAAGTAGAATCATTCTTCTTTTGTTCTTTTTTTTTAACATATTGTTTTTACAATTTTAGGTCCAGTGGCTTTCCATATAAATTTTAGAATATGTTTATCTATATCTACAAAAAAATCTTGCTGAGATTTTTTTTAAATAGGAATTTATTACAACTGTAGATCAATTTGAGGAGAATTAACTTTTTACATTGAGGCTCCAATCATGAACATAGTATGTCTCTTCATTTATTTAGGTCTTTTTGGTTTCTTTCATCAGTATTTTGTAATTTTTACCATATGTATATTATATAGTTTTTTAAAAAATGATAAAGAATTTCATTTCCTTTGGAGCAATTTTAAGTGTTATTGTTTTTATTTGTTTCATTCTTAGTATGTGAATTATTTTTTGTCAGTTAACCTTGTATTCTATATAAGGTTGATATATGTTTATATCAGTGTCTTCTTGCATTGCCTGTAGTATCTGCTTTATAAAGTTAGTTATTTGGTGGGTAGATATTCATAACTATTATATTTTCATTTTAAATTGTGTTTTTGAGATAAATTGTGCCTTTCTTTGCTGTATTTAATATATGTTGTCTTTTATTCTACCTATCTGATAAAAGAATCACAACTATTCTTTGTTGTTTCTGTTTGCCTGGTATACCTTTGTCTATCCCTTTGTTTTTAACCTTTCTGAATTTCTTTGTTTGTATACATCAAACAGTTGAGTCTTGCTTTGTGACTTAAACTGAGAATCTTTTTCTTTCAACAGGTAAGTTAAGCCTATGAACATTTATTGAAAAGACTGATACACTTGGTCTCTACTATGTTCAATTATTTATGTCGCAATTACTATGTCTGTTATATTTGCTTTCCCTATGTGATGTGCTTTCTTTACTTGTTCTTTTAACTTTGTATTTTTAACTTTCATCTTTGACTTAATGGTTATCTTTCAAGGACTCCTTTGTTCTGGTTTTCTTATTTAAGCTTTTACTATCTAGTTAGAAGTTTATAATGGTATCCCTGTTGTTTATAGAATTAACGAGTTTATTTTACTTTATTCTTTCCCACTCCCTTCTCTCATTTTTAGCTAGATTATTTCTACCTTCAAATGATATGATATTTGTATATTATTCTTTAACCTTCCTCTCCATATTTATTTTAGTCTTTAGATCATCAATCAAAAATATTTAATGTTTATCATCAGTTCCTTAGTCACTTCTTGGTTAGATAAAGCTTATCTTTTTTAGATTACTCAAAAATTAATTCTTAATATCTTTAATGATTAATTTATTCATCAATAGCCTTAACACATAAAGGACAGTTTACCTAGGTAAAAATGCTTTTTTTCATACATTCTTTCCTAGAATATTCTAAAAATCTTGCTCATTGCTACCTTGTTTTATAGTCTGCTTTTGAGAGGACTAATGGCAGTATAATTTTCACGAAATTTATTTGTTTATTTGTTTAGACCTGAAGAACTTAATAATTTTTTTCTTTAAAGTTTAATAGTTTTACTAAGATATGTCTATGGTTTGATGATTCTGGATCAATTTTCATTGGTAACTGGAAAGTCCTGTAGATCTGTGTCTATTTTATTTCAGGAAATTATAAATATTAATGTTATTCCCGTGTTTTTTCTTCTTCAGTAACTTTAATTACATTTATGTGAATCTTCTTTGCTTGTCCGTGTCAACCATTGCCTCTCTGACCAATTTTACTCCTTCATTATTTCAATTTGTATTCCTTCTGATATTTTCCAACTTTTTTCCTCAGGCATCTTGTAATTTAGTCTTTATTTATTATACGATTTTGTCTTTTCCTTCTTTTCTTTCCTGAGGTCAATCAACTGCCATTTTATTTCTTTATGATTTTGGTATATCTCTGTCCTTTATAAATTTCTAATTCAAAGTTATTGAGATTTTTTTATATCACCAAATGTTTGAGAAT